GGGGGGGGGGTTGTCGGTGCTTGGTGTGGTTAGCATTGATCAGCTACGAAACCAAAGACCCGGCCATTGTTCGTCGTTTCAGATGCAGTGTCACAGGTTCAATTAGAGACACGTTGAACATACCAACATTTAAAAATCTGTTTAATGAAGAATTTTTTAAATACATTTCTACATCTCAAGTTATACCAAATTTTTTAATTTAATTTACACACACACACCGATGGGCTATTAAGATAAGTAGAGGAATAGATAGATCCTGTAGTTTATTTTATTTTACCTTTGTAAAGTAGAAAGAAAACAATATATTTTAAGTGACTACGCTTTCCCGTTTTCATTTGTTTTCATTTAACTCCGGGACGCGTTTTACTTGACACATTATAAGTGACCTCATCTCCGCCTGCCTTAACCTGCTTCTTCTTGCATCTCTCTATTATCTTCTCTCTCTGCCATGATAATTCCTGTCATTAATTAAAATTGGTAATAACTATTTCGGATTCACCACAAGGAATGTAATCGTAACTAATAAATTAATGTAACGTTATGTCGATTTGGGAAGACATTTTATACTAGGAGGTAACGGGATGCAGAAGGGACACCAGGAATAACAAAGAATGATTAGGAAAGACCAGGAATAAGAATAACTGGAAAGAATGAAGAAATCTTGATAATCACGGATATTTTGGGAAGGACTGGGAACCTCTGATAAATAACGAATAACCATGAAACTTATATTAGAAGGAAAAGTTAAAAGAACCAATAATTAATAAAAATGAAGCACTGAAAAGGGGGAAAAAAGAAACAAGGAATAACTAGGGAGTAAGAAAGACTGTCACAAAGGTCAAGGTTATTCACAGCAGTATGGTGGCGGGAGGCAGTGAGTGGTAGAATGGTTGGCGTCTGGTTGTTGGTAAATGAGGAGAGTGCGTATTAGCGTGTGTGTGTGGGGGGGGGGGGTAATTAAAAGCTCCGATCTTGTATACATACCCAGGGTGTGTATATGGGGAAAAGTATATTTGTTGAGTGTTAAGGAATAGCATTTGTGGTACAGTATTGGTAATTGATTAAGTAATGTGTACGGTTGAGTGGCTATTTTCGGGATTATTGGTTGTGTTCAGTGAAATTATATTGGTTTCGGTAACTTATTTTAGAATGTGTAACTAGGTAAGCATCGAGGTGTCGGTGCCATTGACTCCGGCTGTCAGGTTATTTTATGCTCGTGAGTCGGGTAATATGTAGCCAGTGTGTACAAAATGACTTCTTAGGACAGCGGACACAAGCCAACTCCACTTAATTCACGAGGTTGATTTTGGCATGTTACGGTCCACTGTGCCTGTGTACAGTACTATGACCAAATTAGCCTTGTGTTTGAACTCCCATTTGTTTCATCACTGTGTATGTATATTGATATAAGAGCTTGATGTATGTTGGGTGCGTATTGTAAAAATCGTGATTATATGTTATTCACGAGTTTCTTTCATTATCTTATATATCGTTCTTTCAATTTATTGGTTAATTTATTTATGAAAATCGTCATGTTTTTACTGTTGGCATGCTTAGCGTCACCCCGATGCATTTTTACGATAAGAGAAAACGAAACGCTTGAGATGGCAAACTATTCCGATTAATTTGGTTCGGTTTAGTGTCGGGTATTGTCACACAGATACACATTAAATCAGGTTGAAAGTCAATTGGATCTGTCCTCAAAGGTCCCGACCTTACATAACCATTAGAAGTTGTTGACCCTTTCCCTCCCTCTCTCTCAGGAGCACAGAACCGGTAATAATAATAATAGTAATAAAACAATTGTGGCCGAAGGCAGAACACACCGACAGTACAGTATTGGCCCAAGATTCCTCTCTGGGTACACCCGCACACCAGACTGACGCCAAGTAAATTTCACGTGGAGGCAAACATAATATATATTAATGCAGTAATGATATAGCCTCTCCCTCGACCGCCAAATTTTCGCATGGGTAATATTGGCAGTGTCAGTCGAGGGTTGAGAAGTTATAGCCAAGGATAAACGCTACTTTCATTGTGTTTCTTAGTAACATTGCCTTCTTCAGTTTTGTTGTAAGGGAGGGATGTCAGGTCTTGGTAATGTTTCATTTTTTTTAGTAATAAGTTATGCGTATTAACCGAGGGGATTGATAATTGATTTCTGGAACTAGAAACCTGACCTAACGTGGTCACTAAAGAAAACAAATATAAAAATGAATAGTAAAAGGAGAGTTGTAAAGATGAATGAAAATGGATACAAAATAATACTGAGAAAGAATAAATGGAAACACACGGAGATTAATTGAAAGAAGAAAGAAAACAAACGAGCCGAAAATTTTTGAGAATACTAAAAAGAGAAAGATGTCATCAGATGAATTAAAGATGGAAGAACAAAAACTGGGAGGAAATAAGATGACAAACGAATTTATAAAAAGAACATTAAACAAAGAAACGGCAGAGAGAAGAATGAAACAAGAACTAAAGAAAATGAAAGTCTACGACTGTTCACAGGAAAGACGAGGAATCTCACTAGGCTACAAGGTGCATACAGTCACACCCAAGCGTCACGTTTCTATAATTTTGCGGTTGCTAGTGACCCCGGGATCATCTTGCAGCTATGAGGAGTAATTACACCCTTTGTCCTTACTTCCTCCCTCCCGTACACGTGTCAAAATCTCGCAAGAACATACCCATCTGGATAAATTCGTACCGCCAATATATAAAGTCACAAATACTACAGTATCACCTGAAATGTGCCACCGGACAATTCTCTGTAATGCTTTACTAGATGGATGCATTGAACTTTGTCTTCATATCTTACATAAACTCATAGACAACATCAAAATTCTACGACTATCCGGTGCTGTACTTCTATTTTATATTATTGACATGAGTACAGGGTGTTAGAAACTTAGTAGCAATAATGAAAACAATTATAATCATGATAACAGGTGATAATAATTTTACCTATAAATAATAACATGGTGTGAGGGTCTGTTGATGGTAGAAGCGTGTTGGTTTATCGTGGGTGAAACATAAACCTCATTTTTCTGTTCTGGTTCACTGCTCACACAAGAACTATTTCATTGCGGAGAATAGCCAGCAAAAACTGTTTCCAGCACACGTCGGGTTTCGAAGACTAACAAATTAACCTGTATTTTTAATAAGTTAAATACATATTTTTGAAGGTTTAACCGTCTAGTATAAGACGGTGTCCGTAGGTTGTGCTAAACATATATTGTATGTAGTTAAAAGGGTGTAAAGGGCTCAGCATTAAGGTAACTCTTGTAGAATTTTATCTTAAATATTTTTGGGATATTGGTATCCTGGTTTAAGGCTATTTGTTTATATTAAATGATATGTAAATCTTTAGTCAAAAATTGTATCTAAGTGATTGGACAATTAACTTACACATTTGTCTTATTAGGTAGTACGTAACTCAGGCTAGGTTGGTATTAGTTTATATATGTTTTAAACTTAACTAAACAATATGAGAAGGGCAGGTGAAGGGAGGCCAGAATGAGAGAGTATCTGGCCAGCGTGCTGATTACCTGGGTGTAACACTAGACTGGCTGGGAAAGACATTACTCCAGTTAATCCGGTCGGGGTAGTGGTTTTTGTGGGGGGGGACTGCCAAGGCTTAAGTGACCATAGTGATCTTTTGAACCGTCCGGGTACCACAATGATCCCTTGAGATGACATTGAAACCAGCAAAATGTAATATATAACCATTGGGAGCTGTGTTGAATATCCCACCTCAACCTGCCTGTGAAATGTGACACGCCTTGGACTCATTCGTAAATTCCTTACTGTACTAGGCAAGTGTAACGTAAGTATAGGTCACATTGTCAGGGTACACCCGCCTGTGTACATCTCCTAGTTTACCCCAAATAAAAAAAAAAAGTTTACCCCAAAGAAAAACAGAACATGACGTTGACTTGCTAACCAGACAATCCCATCTTGGAACACGTCACGCCATCTCCCTGTAACAGAGCGGACTGGAATTGTTCTGTGTGGTGTGACTGCTTTTTAAACTAGTTGAAGAGATGACATCAGGAGACAAGATGCGACACGAAAATGGCTGGGCCGGTCCATGTACACTGATGGTGGTCGTGACGCATCACTACCAGACCCAGGAAATGTATCCAACTAGGGTCGAGATGGAGTCATATATACCATAGGTCTGATGCCAAGTTTAACAGCTGTTGGGTAAAATCGTGTCCTTAAGAACTCTTGTGTATTTTTAATTATGTATAGTAGTTTGAATTTATCCTAAGTTAATATCCTGGTTTTATTAACGTTATGCAGCAGGATGTAGTGTTTTTGCTCTCATTTTTTAGATATACATAAGCTTACTGTATATAGTAATTGATTAGTTAACAGGTGTGAGTATCGTTTAGAATGATTGGATAATTTTTATTTTAATCGGTTTTTATTGAAATTTTCATAGCTGCTGAATAAAATTTTGTCGGTCCGACTAATTACCCAAACGTAGCCAAATATAGCCGGAATGAAGTCCAATAATGGTCCTACATGAATAAATCGGACTGCTAATCACTTCTCGACTAGTATTTGGTGTCACAAAGTCACAAAAAATTGGTAAACTTAATTTAATCTGAGTTGTGTTGTGTTAGGTTAGGTTAGGTACATGCACTTGATCTATTAACTCAGATTAAAGTAAGTTTTCCAATTTTTTGTGACTTTCTGACACCAAATACTAGTCGAGAAGTGATTGGCAGTCTGATTTATTCATGTAGGACCATTATTTGACTTCATTCCGGCTACATTTGGGTAATTAGTCGGACCCAAGTTTTGTCGGTGGCTGTTGACAGCTTTATTAATTTTCAGAGATTTTTAATTCTCCTATTTGCTATTATAATTTAATGCATCAGAAGTTTAAGAAAGCATTTAGTTTGTGTATAGTTATTATAGATTTTTTTAAAGTTTTAGTATCTGTGATGTTGCTTTGTAAATAAACCTTTATTGTGATGGATCAACAGGTGGGGTCAGATGTGGGCATGACGGAGCTGGGGTACGCCACTTTACCCCGCGGCCCTCGCCTGCCCATCATCCATAATGGCTTTCACAACCACAATGGTCACCTGCCCAATGGTCACCTCCCCAACAGTACCACCACTCCCACCAGCCAAGGTCTTCCCCAGGTCCCCACGCTCGCGGTTAACGGAGGATTGATCAATGGCTGTGTCAGGAACAATGGGAGTCCAGGTCAGTCAATATCTTTCTGTTGTGGTTAACAAGATCAGTTAGCGGTGAAATTGAAAGGGGACCTGCGTTTATTGATTTGAATGTCCATACTATTATTTTTATGTAACTACTCAATTCTATGACCTCTATATATGATGATAATACTATCTAATCTTGAAATACAATTCAGTTCAAACACCTCGTCCATGGGAGAGTTCAACACCGTGACAACTTCACAGTGGGTATTCTGCTCAGAATTGTATCCAGTTGTATTATGCAACTGCAGCTCTCAGCCATTTATTACTACTTGTATATGTTTAAATACTGTAGTGTACACAACACGGACAGGTATAATTAAGTATGTGCAAGGGGTAGGTACAGGGTAAATGATATTGGTTGTCCTTCAGGGAGGAGTAATAATTCAGACGTCAGACTCATAGGAAGGAGCCAATTTGGGGGATTTTCTGTTGAAGAAAGCTTGTTTTTACCCAATGAATAGAGAGAAATAAGTGGAAGAATTGCAACCCTCCTATTATCTGTTTTCTCCTGTTAAAAAAAAATACTGGGTAAATATTCGTCCATTGGCTGTCCTCGTTGTGTTATGGTGTGTTTTACTCAAACCTGACCTTAATTTCTGGTGCGAATGAGAGGTTTTTGAAGAAAAAAAATCATTTGTAACAGAAACAGCAAATTTGCACCAAAATGGCTGTTGGGTTTCAGTAACACACACCATACAACACACACACAAAAACTAACCAAGCTTTTTTTTTTTTTTTTAGCTTACCTGCTACTGTGGTGGAGGATGGTTTCTTGATTTTTTAAATCAGATTTAAATAAATATCGAGCCAAATATTTATTATAGTGCTCCTTCCTGATGCCGGAACACAACACCTAACTTTTAATATGTTTCCACGAGTGTTCAGTATGTTGGGTGTGGATGCCATTTTCTGGATTCACAAAGTTATCACTGTGGTTAACAGTCAAATGTGAGTAACCGAGATCACTCAAACCATTATAAGCCTTCCAGCAGTCCGTATGAATAATGCTTCCTGGAAGAACGAAGTGCAGCCCAGTACAGTTAATAGGTTGAACAGCACAGGCTTCCAGTGTGGTTAGTTAAGAAATAGTATCTCAGGATCAATTCCACATTTTCTTCCTTGGATGTTAATGAAGTTTTGTTGCTATATATAGGTGGACGAGCTGTTCACGATGGATTTGCCACGATACGGTCTGGAGGTGGCAAGAGGGGTCGTGCCCGCAGTACTCCTTCGGTGACAAGTGAAACTCGAACAACTGCCTGCCACCATGGCTGTTGCAATACAGGAGGACGTGCCTGGGCCATGGAGCCACTCTGGGAGGAGAGAGGCATAGCAGAGACACCAGGGGCAGTGCCAATAACCAGAAGAGATCGTTCACAGCTGCCGTGGTGGGAGGTGGCAACAAGACGATCAAAATATCGCTCTTGTCCCGCATTTTCTCAGGTTTGTGGCAAAAATTAATGTAGTTTGAAAGGTGAAGGTAGTGATATAATAGATGCCAAGTTGTAAAGTAGATTACTATACCTGTATGGAACATTCTTCATATTTTATTATGTTGGTACTTTTTGAATTTACTCCTATCTATACAAATAAGGAGACCCAAATTTTATGTGATCTTGTCTTTGTATTGACAGGCCAGTATGGTGAGTGCCCTGGAGCAGACGATGAGCAGCGTGACTGACAAATTAGAACGTCTTGCTTCTTCTCCAGATCTTAAGGTAGGAAATTATTGGGGACTTAACTACTGTACACTATGTGTTTATATATGTTAGCATGGCAGCTTCTTTCTTCAGAATTAGTAAACTGGACTTGTCAGCCTCAGTCATAGGCAGTGTAGGACCTGTAACTAAAAATTGCTAGGTATAATAAACATGGTGTGTGCATCAGAAAATTAAATATGATGAAGCAATAATGACGCATGGAATTTCGTTAATTACTAATAACTGTACAGATGGCGTGATACATATAGAAAGGAAACCTGGACAAGTGGGGATTTGGGAGACAAGTTTGAGAGGAATGTTGGAAGATGATTCACAGGAGATATATGAGAGTCGAGCTTTATGCTGAGTCTAGTCCATAGATATGAAGAATTTGAGCATCATAATTATTTGGTATATTGTTGTGTGTGGCATGAATTGAGGGCGTGATTTCTCTTCATTATTTACAGTTTTATAGTACTGTTCAGTAAGTTACGTTGCCTGTTTCACTTAGTTAAGGAGAGATGATGGCTTGTATGTTTTGTTTGAGTACCATTGTAGAATTGTTAGTGTTTGGTAATACCTGAACAGTAGTGAATTTTCAACCCCTAAGAATAATCCTGTGGCTGGAAAGATTGGTTGAGTATTACTGTACTGTGTGATGTGGTATGATATGGTATGTGTGCACTGAGCTTGCCCTCAGCTACAGCCACCCAACATGTTGTGGAAAATGGCATAAAACATGTCGGCTTTTAGTGTAATACGATAGACCTTTATTTATATGACGTCATTTAAGGGTAGACAAATAACGTGTTGGCTGTGTTAGTGTAAATACAGGTATAGTAATTTTCCCTTGACCTCGTAGCTCATTTTGTCCTTGGCATTTCCAGTTATATTTCTTTATTCCCTTAATAAGCTCTCTAAGTTGAGGAGCTATAGAGGCTGTACAGTAGCTAGAGCTGGAGGGTGGACTGATATTTTTTGAAGTTCCAAATATAAAACTGTGGCAGTGTGGATGAATAAGATGGATCAATTCACAAGTTAGCGGAAGCTGGAGGGGCAAGCAAGAATTTTTGGTAAACATTTGGTGTCTGGCAATGCAATGCTTTTTTAACTCGAAAATTTTTTTTTTGTGTCTGATCAATACTCTACAGTGTGTGTATGTGTGGCAATGTTTGATAAGCGCAGTGTATGGTAGTGTGTGTGTGGCAATGTTTGATAAGCGCAGTGTATGGTAGTGTGTGTGTGTGTGTGGCAATGTTTGATAAGCGCAGTGTATGGTAGTGTGTGTGTGTGTGTGTGGCAATGTTTGATAAGCGCAGTGTATGGTAGTGTGTGTGTGTGTGGCAATGTTTGATAAGCGCAGTGTGTGGTAGTGTGTGTGTGTGTGTGTGGCAATGCGTGTATGTAGTGTGTGTGTGTGTGCAATGTTTGATAAGCTCAGTGTATGGTAGTGTGTGTGTGTGTGTGCAATGTTTGATAAGCTCAGTGTATGATAGTGTGTGTGTGTGTGTGTGTGTGTTTGATAAAGCGCAGTGTATGAGATGTGTGTGTGTGTGTGTGTGTGTTTGATAAAGGCAGTGCATGTAGTGTGTGTGTGTGTGTGTGTGGCAACCAGTGTAAGTGTGTGTGTGTGTGTGGCAATGTTTGATAAGCTCAGTGTATGATAGTGTGTGTGTGTGTGGCAATGTTTGATAAGCGCAGTGTATGGTAGTGTGTGTGTGTGTGTGGCAATGTTTGATAAGCTCAGTGTATGATAGTGTGTGTGTGTGGCAATGTTTGATAAGCTCAGTGTATGGTAGTGTTTGATAAGCTCAGTGTATGGTAGTGTTTGATAAGTAATGTGTATGACAAAACAAATCTTATAACTCGAAAAATTATAAATATGTTGAACAGGAGACAGAAGCTGCAGAGTTGAGAAAAACAGCTGCAGTCTTGCGTCAACAAAGTTCTGCTGTGTGTCAGTCCGTCAACTCAGGTGAGATGGTTTAATTCTTATTATCTTTTTATCCTGATGCATTATATGTAGAGGCTTGAATGTGAGAGTTAATACTGTATGTTATTTATTTAATCTATACAGGGCAAATTTTGTGTTCTAGATCATTGCAAAGAACATTATTCTTCACAATGATTATACAGTACTTTATTCCTCATGATTTTTTGGTTCCTGCTTATTGCACGGTTTCAAATATAATGCAGTAATCACTTAGGGCTCTCATATACTGTACAAAAATGATCCTTTACTGTATAATGTAATCCATTTGAAGACTTTTGTGATTTTGTTGCTAATACAATATAAAGTACTGTACCCGAGTTCTTTCAAGTGAGACACTAAACTTTCTTGTATGACAGTTTGGAGGCTGACCTAATACTATGGTGAGACTGTGTTGTGGTGACTGTTCTTGATGTAGTAGTGTGAATACGTTGTACCATTTACAATTAATTCAGAGTTTTGATCTTGCTGGAATTAAAACATGAATTCCTACTTCTGTGCAGTTAGTTAGGTAGAGCAAACATGGAGTGTATGGAGGGCAGATGCATCATGCAGCACATGTAGGGCCCATTCATTGTGCATTTTGACCAGTGTTGTGTACAAGGAGAGTAGATATGGTTTACAGTACATTTAAGGCATTTATGTTGTACAGTACAGTATGTGTAGGGCAGATACAGTATTATGTACATATAACTCAGGTTTGCAGCACATATAAGGTATTGTTATTTAAAGGAGCATCATTGTTCCGTATTATTGTGGTTACAGTGATCTGGGGTGTACTATATAGGTATTCAGTATTACCATTGAATGTAGTATTTTTAGCTGGGTGATTTAGTTAGTTTTCTCCAACACAAGCACACACATGCACACGTTATGTACCCGTATATGTTTGTGTGAGGATAATTACAAAGTACAGTAATGCAAATTCTGTAAAAAATTTGCTTTTGGGGAAATTTAAACCAATTGTGTATATACTGTACTAACAATCATCTACTGTAGTAACACTTGCTCTGCACCATAACTAAGCTGTCCCATTACGAACTCAATGTATCCAGCCTGATCTTACCTACACTGATAACACTTCCTGCTTTGTCCTAATTTACTAAGTTTAAATTTTTTTTTTTAATTAAAATATGTCTGGTTCACCTTTGTTGCCAATTTTCTGCTCACTTTCTTTTGCCGTATTTGCCAAAAATCTTTTACTAATGAAGTCTTGACTGGCATATTATCCATAAAGTGCACACTAGAGTTTCTTTAAATATTACTTTATTTACATATGCTTATACAAACAGTAAGTACATATTCTCTCAATAGAAATTTTCCCTCATACCTTTACTTTATGTCATTTAGTAAACATCTCGGTATCACATGATGCTGCTGAAGAACTGAACATTTTTGTTTGGTTGTCATAAAGATGATGCTTCCATCATAGACTTACTGTGGAGTGAGTGAGGGAAGATAGTGAGAGGTAAGGGGCAACAGGTAAAGATAAAGAAAAGAAACTTGTAGTCATGTATAGGGTAAAGTTTAGTTAGTGAAAGTAAGGTTGATGGTTAGAGGTATGGTAGAGTCAATACTCAGAGCAAAGAGCCAAAACTGGGAGTAAGATGTGTCCTTGTTTCATCAGTGTTGCTTCCCTGAGTCACTGAGGTCATTCCGTAACCACCCAAAGATGTTCATTTCAAGAATTATCATCGTGAAATCTCTATTTAACGGACTGTACTGTATATAGAGAAGAAAGTCCATTATACAGTATGGAGGTTTTACTGTAGAACACTCTTATAACCCAAATATTTAAATTTTGGGGCATTATTTTTAGAAGAGGTACTGTACTGTACATCATAATGGAGTATATCTGTTGAGAGGCTGTTTCTGGTCACCTTGTACCATAATAGAAAAAAAGGCTTACAAGAGTGAGATGAAAGTTTTAGTGTTTTTAACTAACGAGTCTTTCTCTCAGGATACTTCGGCATGGAGCGCCAGTTATCGTGCGACAGTGTGTCGAGCGTCACCTCTACAGTCAGTGGAGCTTCCCTGTCATCTTACGCCTCGCTAGGGTCCCGGTCGCTTAGTGCCACACACACGCCACACTACAACCCCCATAACCTTAGTCACACACAGTCGGATAGCCTTAACCCCCCCAACCAAGCTAAGCTTAAAAAGAGAAGCTGGGTAAGGAGCTTCAAGCTTCAAGATTTTATTAACTTGAATGATTTGCTTATGTTGTACAAAACTCTAGCCTTTGTATGTATAAAAAGAGGTTTGTAAAATATTAAATACTAACAAATTCTTGACCTGTAGGTGTTGTGAAAACTTTGTGGCATCTTTGAGAATAATTGTAAATAGACTCCGCGACTTCTTACGGCACCAAGAACATGAGCTTATCAATTTTCAGCTGAGGAGTTCCTTCCGAAGAGCGTTTGGGAGACACGGGAGGAAACGAAGTAAACAGACGGGAGAAGGAAATCCCGATGAAATTCCACAAGAGTTACCACTGCACCACACTGTCAATGCTGCTGTGAGACACTTGCCTCCACCGCCTCCATCATCACAGTCCGTGTTGGTACAGCAGCAACAGCGCAACCAAATACTGGGAACATTACAGAGGAAACAATCACTTCTGAAGCAACAAAAGCAACAGTAAGCTCGTTAACATAGCACAATAAATGATTATTTGTATTGTGAATTTTTTCAGTATACAAAAGACCCTCAATGTAACACAAAACTTGGACAGATAATTGTCTCACAAACTTAAGGTTCTCACAGCTGGTTGATCATCTTTTCTTTGATGTCACGCCTTAAATAGCAAATATTGATTGCCCTGTTCATAAAGTTTACAGTGCCAAGAAATAAATTAGGGATGATTCCATTCTTTTAAATATAATAGGACAAGATTATTAAATTATTAAATTTGTTGATAATAACTGGTGTGTGTTATATACTAAAGAGGTTGTTGTGTGGCTGTTGTAACCTTGTAGTACAGCTGTGTTCTCTCTTATTGTATTCAGTGTGGAAAATTCTATCAAACTATATTGAGATGAAAGTCTGTTGTATTGAGGGTTTATTAGATGTGAAACCCCCATGTAACGGACTATATGGAGAGAGAGTCGTGTGAGGAAGTGTTAAAATCTCTAATCCTATGGTTCCTTGTTATCAGGGGTGCTTTGAAGGAGAGTGAACTACTGGCCCAACTGAGGCAAGAGGCTACGGAAAAAGAGCGAGTTTTGACAGATTGCCGGCTGGAGGTCCTGTCTGCCCAGCACCAGTTGCAGGCCCAGGCTGACACAATTGCAAGACTCCAAGTAAGTCACTGCCTCTTAATATGTTGTGCACTGCTTCAGTAACATTTCCAATTTTAAATATTCCAGGGTTGAATTGATAAGATGTGCATAGCTAGTGTTAATATATTGAAGTAATATTTCTTTGGTGTACAATACAGCTGTACCCCAGTAAATGAGCACATTATACAGTGTATCTTACCAGCTTTTAACAGTGTTTTAATATGTACAGTAGAGTCAATTAATGTATGAATAGTCAATTGGACATGTGAACAGATCTGTTTTTATCTCTGAAAGTTTATAAGTTAAATGTTGGTAAGTAGAAGAACACCTGTACAGTATTAACAACAGTTTGTGTACAGTAATAGGTATTCTTTGAAGCAGTGTGTGAAATAATGTCCATATATAATATAGGCAGAGGTGACTGGTTTGAGGGAGGAGAATGGGCGGTTGGTGTCTCTGGTTCGGGGACAGTGTGGAGCTGCGGCTGACTCTCTCCTAACCCCACTGACGAACACATTCACATCTCTTACCCTTTCTCATGCCAGTGTTAATGGTAAGTTCCCATTGTCATCTGCTAAAATGAACTAACAGAACTAGTATTTTTTCATCTGTTTTTGTTTTGAATGTTAAATGATGAATTACGTTATGTTATCGCTGTTCCTTCTTGTTTTTTATATGATGAACAGGTTCCGTTCCTGAGGACATAGTTAAGTCGGAAATGTATTAAATCGGAACACATACTCTATATGCACTATATCATAGCCTAAGTCCTTTTATGCATCTTGAATCACTTAATTTAAGAGAAAAGAAGAAATTGAATGACAAAATACAGTAAAGGAAAGTAAAAATTAAAGTTTAGCACTTAAACACTTACACTGAAACCTGGGGCTGGCTGATCTTCCACCCATATCACTAACCCTTTTCATTTCAGTTAACAGTCTACTTCTTTGTTTTGTTATCACAGTTGAGTCCATTGGTGTAGATCCTTTTACGTGATCAAAAATTTAATGTTTGTCTTTCAAAATTATTCCGATTGTTGGCCGACTGAAGCCCAATGCTTTACCAATGACTGAGGGCGTTTTGCCTTTTTCAGAGCGTTTAATTGCATCAACTTTCACTTCCATTGTTATAGTTTTCCTTTTCCTGGATGCACTACTATCACTTGCATTTGGGAGCCATGATCAGGGCAGAAAAATAGAGTTAATAAGCGTAAAACAACAGTTTGCACTTGATCACACACATTGCTGGGCTGAGGGTTAGGCGCACTGACACTCCCCCAAGGCACATGGCTGGGTGACGCATTACTTCCCATCCATCGCTCCGCCTTGCCGTTACGCCACGCAAACTAGTTCTTGTAAGTTAATACTACGAACCAGTTGTACCTATGTCGGATGCTTAAAATAACTGACCTTATGGGACCCCGCGTGTATCGGCGGACGTTTGTAACTCGGGGACCCCCTTGTATCCATTTTTTAAATTTAGCTTCAGGGAAACTTGACAGGATTTTCTTTAGTGATTACATTTGTATTAGAAATCTTACATGACCTTTGTGGAGTGAGCAGACCATTGAAAATTTCCCTTAGGAGGTAACACATCACCCCGAGAAGAAGGCCGTCGTGTAAAAGTGGTCGTGGTGAATCAGCCCGACTTGACATCGATTCATAATGCTGCTGCTGTTGCCCTCGATCCCAACAACTCTACTCACATTGGCAACATTAATGTGGAGTCTAAGACAACTTGGGAAGAACTTGACACATTGATGAGCAACTCACTAAAGGTAAACAAATATAATCATAACATTCAGTACTGTTTCCTCACTTGTTAACTTTATTGCTCACCTCCAGAATAATAGTTGTCCATCAATATGTATTAGGGAAGACACTGGCTGTAGAATGATAACCTCACGTTGCCTCTCTTCCCAACAAGGATTATTGGAATAGGGTGGATCCAGTCTCTGCACTTGGATTAGACCCCGACTCTGTTCTCTGTTATCGAGTGGAAGATGTGGTACGTTCTTCTGATCTTCCCCGCCCTGAGCTATTGCCTTATGGGTATTGTGTTGGTGATGTTGATGCCCTCCATGTGTGGCTCAAGGTAAAGTACTGACATATTGTAAATTATATTCTATAGTATTTTAAGTACCCTGTGCTGTACATGAGGTGTTTAGAATAGCAAGGCCGTTTATGCTGAATTGTTCGGTTTCCCATATTCTGTGTCAGTCCTTATCCCTAGCATTCCTCTATTAGATGATGATGTCAGGCAACGTGGATACGTACAGTACACCTCCAGCACTGTACAATCCCCATAAGAAAATGAAGGACAGAAAACATGCAGTACAGCCTGAAAACTGAACCGAGTTGAGATATTCAGAGTTGCGCCCTTGCTGTCGTATACGTCTCGTATGTTCAAATTTGGCTGGAGAATTGTTTAGTACAGTACATGTTTTATAAGCTCTTTCTTGATGTTTTTTCTTGTTGTCTTTCACCATTTTCTTCCTTTCTTTGAGATTTCTGTACAACTTGATTTCACCCCATACAAAAGTGGGAGAAGAGGAGAAAAGTTAGTCCAACAACTTTTTCATTACTTGTCTGTATATGTCTTCATCAGGGCGGACATCATAAGAAGGATGGAGAGACTATTGGCAGTGTATCAGCTGCCTCCTTCACTAGTGTTACACCAGCTACCTCTCTCAAGCGCCTGGCTAGTCTCTTGGTAGAGCACCGCCGCCTGGTTCTTGCTGGACCTCCGGCGGCAGGGAAGACGTCACTAGCTCGCACCCTGGCACAGTTCTTTGTTGTGAATTCGGGTCGAGAATTGAGTGAAGATGCCATCAAAATATTCAAGTGAGTTACCTTGCTTGTTATATATAAAGAGAAATTGTAAATACTTTTTTTGGTTACTACTTTGTGTGTGTGTGTGTGGTCTAAATTTTAAATTATGTGAAATATTTACAAATACAGTGTATGATGCAAATGTTGCCATGGGATGCGACCACCCGCCACATTGTAAATAAGTACTGTAAATAAAAATTTTGAGATGTCATTTAGACAGGTACAGGTAATTATACAGATATCAAATTGCAGAAAACAGATCCATAATCAACTTGTTCAAGAGTACTGTGCTGTACTAAGAAGTGTTTAAATTTTGATTGGGGCAGATAATGAAAAAGTGAGGTTTTGTTTGCTTTTCCCTCGGGAGGTGTCCCTAAAATTTGTAAGGGCTAGAGCCCCTATTATTTCAGATTATGGATTTTTTTTACTGTACTACAATAGTACAACCCATTCATTATGGGCATTCTACAAATGGAAGGATCTGCCTTTGGCAGTTGACTGTGGACTTTCTATAATGGTAACCCATTGTGACAAAAATGTTATACTGAAGGTGCTCACAAAATTCAGACCAGTTGCATTGAATGGATTAACAAGTTTTAATGTGTGTTTGACACACACATCATGAGATCTGACAGCCTTGCTCTTGGTACTTCAGAGCAAACTGAGATACTTTTATGTGGTGACAGGAGGTGACCATAATAACCAAAAGGTGAAGGGGCCAGAAACCTCAAAAACAAGAGAGGTGATGTAGGTGGGACTGGGAAGATTGCCTCTGTAGAGGAATTCACACAATATTACAATATTAATACTGTTTCTCTTCTTTTCTCAAAGCTGCAACCCTCCTTAATTTATTTTTTTAAATTGACAGTGGTTTATTAAAATATTTAGGTGATTGTGTTATATTTGATCTTTTCACAGAGTCAATGGTACAAACACCCTGGAACTGTGTCAGCTGCTGTCAAGCATGTGGCCACGTGGCCTTACTTCTGGTCGTTCAGCTTCCTCTCTTTCCTCTGCCTCTACCTGTAACAGTGTCTCGGCCTCTTCCATCACCACAGACAACATCCAGAACCTGCCTGCTGTTATTATTCTCGATGATCTTCATACAGCTGGTGAGTTGACAGTTAACTGCCTTTTGTTTTACTCAACAACAAATTTGACCTGAAGTTGACTGTGTCAAAAAAAATAAAAAAATTGTAATACATGAACAAAATTAGATATGTCCTTGAGATAGCTGTAGTCTACTCTTTTTTTTTTCTTGGTCTTTCTATTTTATTTGTTTTTTAATCTTTTTAATGGGTGCACTATAGGACAGGTCACACTCTTAAGTTAATGGTGATTGTATCTTGGTGCATCCACCATCAATGTACAAGTAGTCCTAGAATCCTTTTAAATCCACAAGAGTTAAAAGAAATACTGTACCGGTGTTGTACTTAAATATTTTTTCATTAACTTTCCCACATTTCTCCTTTATGATAGAGCTTCACCTTTTTGTAAAACTTTTACTGTCCCAGATATTGTTATTCTCTGGACTTATTTTTTTATTTTATTTTTTTTTTTGAGAATATTGTATCTTAATTTAGGGGTAATGCATTTACCAGGTATCTCATGGTGCTGCATTCTCATATAGTGCCTGGCTTGTTAGCCAGTCTAATTTGCAAGGGAATATACACAGTTGTTATTCACACTTTATTTTAAAAGAACCTGGAACAGCTAACATCTGCATTCGGGCAAAGTTGCTGTGTGGAGAGTTGTCCTGACTTTCCACTTATATATATTATAATCATCTGTCAGTTCAACTCTCCACATGTTAATGGACATAATCATGAGGGATTCTTATAAGCAGCATAATTAAACCACTCCACCATTTTAGTCACCTTTAACATCAGATGTTTCTGCTTATTTCATTATCATTTATGTGCCTGGCAGGTGGTGTGGTAGAGACCCTGCAGCGTTGTCTCCCAGTCACTGTCCACACTGGCCCAGCCATCATTGCGACCTGCTGCCCCACGGCGGCTCTCTCCACGCGTCTGCACATTCATTGCAACTTTAGGCGAGTATACTTTTTAGTTCTTATATGATAACTAAATCATTGTCACTATTATAAATGCAGGGATGTGGATTTCTTACCGTAGAGTTCTGATATCTTCACACTGGTTACTCACCCAGGAGATTATGGTGTATCACTACGTTGAATTTCACTCAACTTAAGGTATTCGGTGTGTTGTACACTTATGAATGAATTCCATTAATTTCCAACATCCATCTAAGTTATTTATTATACCTTGTCTTAACCAATCAGTTGTTACCTTTAGTAATCGTAAGGTAAGGATCATAGATACGGACGGGCAGATAATTGCACTTACATTTATTTGACACAACTCCGTACACTGCACTTATAATTTGTATGGACAGGTCAGTCATTCACATTCACGCACAATATCGTAAATTTATAAGGAAGGGTTTGTCAACCTGGAGAATTAACCGTTAAATTTACTAGGCTGGCCTGGAGTGCTCTTGTAGCAAACAGGCCTTCAACAATAATAACTTTTTCTTGCAGGAGATATTAACTTAGTTGCTAGACTTAACAACAATCTTGGGGATTTGCACACACACAATCGTAGCACTTACAGTCCTGATGGTGTGGAGCAGGAGGTCTTTACTAAACCATGGTCTAAAGCCTACTGGCTAAAATGTGGGTTTGGGGGCGAGTGAGACGTTTATGAACAAAGCAACACTGTCTCAGCCCCCGCCCGATAGATGGCTCACATACCCACTAATGGAACGGTGTTGGAGTCATGCCTCGCTGGGCATGCTATCTCGAGTAAACAAACAAAGGCAGTAGGGTTACTTTGTAGGACCAACCAACCCATGACAATCCTAGATACAAGTATAGTCCTTTGTTTAGCTAGTTTCATCATTGTTTTACTGAACCCAGGTACTTTACTGCAAGTAGATATCCACAAATGAAAATCTAAAGTGGTGGTTGAAGTAATTTCAGTAGTTGCTTAAATTATGTGACCAAGTTAGGTGAATAGAAGATTATTATACTGTATTGTGATGATGAAACGTTAAGGTTTGAACTAATTATGCAACATAAGTACCTTGTCCTATGTTCTAATTACCTAATTGTCTACCTTAATTACGTAATATGGATTTCCATACCCCAAGACATTTTTATTTTAATGTGGAAAATTTAAAAAAAATTTGTTTGCAACTGATTTATTATATTTTTCAGATGGGCTTCACTTAGCACCCAACAGGAACCAGTGAGAGGTTTATTGGGTCGAGTGCTACGCCACAGGGTTGTTGCTGCTGAGGTAGCCGCTAATACTAGACTCCCAGACGCCCACCACCTCGCTGAATGGTTAACCCGTCTATGGCTTCACCTCAACACTGTGCTGTCTGGTCACTGTGGATCACATGAGGTTGGCATTGGCCCAGGTTTACTGATGGATTGCCCCCTTGGACAAGAAGAAACTCAGGCATGGTTCACCGAGGTTTGGAACACCCGGCTGGTTCCTTGCATCAAAACAACCGTCCGGGCATCAGCATCTACAAATTCTGGCATGCTGGACACCTGGACTGACCCTCTAGATTGGGTTCTTGCAACATATCCCTGGCCTAACAATGCTGCATGTGGTTCAGATCAACTTACAAGGTCTGTGGATTGAAATAGATCTTGTAGCCAAACTGAGTAAAATAGAAAAATATATAAGAAGCAGTAGTGAGTAGATGATTAAGGAATAAAGCATTACAATAAGTAATTGAATTCCACTGGTTAGCCACTCATGTTCCAACACCCTACTGACCCCACTGACCAATATTATATACATTAATATTCCAACACACTGGTAGTAAAAAAGGAAGGGTGGGAGTATTATTTTAGTTTTTCATTATTATTTAGAAATAATATTAATGCTTTGAACATATTTTGTTCAACTTTATATCAAACTCTGGGATACTAATCACATCAGCATTCCCATAGTCGGTATCTTGAGTCAGCATATTGCCACTGCTTCACAGAGCAATCCTGGGAACCATAATAAAGTTTTTGCTTTTAAAATGTTGTTTTTATAAACTCATCAGGTCCATAAACTAAAGTTTCATAAATTGGGGGCTACCTGTATTGGTAATCCAACATCTCGCTTGGTAACTTACAGTTTAACACACCAGTACCTAGCTATTTGTATTCTAACAAACCAGTGACTAACCATTTGTATTTCAACAGAATCCCAGCTTCAGACATGAGTCAACAGGACACTACTGGTGTACCATCCAGTAGGACCATGTCTCCAAGACGCCATTATGTTCCACTCTCAGCCCGTCAACAGGTATACTGTACTGTATGATATTCGATTGTTGTAAAATACTTTTAGGATCTTGAATGTATTTTACTTACTCTATTTATTATAAGTTTATATACATTGTGTGTTGTTGCATTTAAGACTCTCGGGAATTTGTTTTTCCAATAGAAGTGTAAAATTTACTTTTATAATGGAGGTATGGGAAAATGTGACTTGATTTATGAAAGGTTTTGCAGGAAAGGATCCTTTCCTAGATCAGGGAATGCTTGTACAGTGGGGTATGCTATAACGAATCTAATTGGTTCTAGAACCTTGTTCGTTATAGCATTCGTTCGTTATAGGATTAATCCGTTCCAGGCCCCCAAATACAACCACTTAACACTGAAAAATATAATATAAAATTGTAAAAAAGTGCATAAATATGCATCTAAACCCCTGAAATAAAGAATATCATTAATACTTGTAATAAAAAGCAATAAATTATTAAAAAAAAAAAATTTAAATAATGTTCGTTGTAGGAGTTTCGTTCGTTATAATTCTCAATTTTATAGGTAAACCCGTTCGTTATAGGAATATTCGTAGTAGGATCCGTTCGTTATAGCATACCCCACTATATATGATAGTTACGCCTACAAATTCCTTCATTCAACTATTAAACATTATATTTCTGTATCCCAGCATTTCATGTGATTAAAAGGTACAGTAATATGTCCGTTAGCTGGAATCCCTCTTAACCCTAACTCCCCGATAGCCAATTTTTTTATTTCTCCAAAAATAGTTTCCAAAGCCGGAATTTTCCAGGAAATTCCGACTTTGAGAACAATTTTCCAAGGGGCACATGTTCTGGAAAATTATGCTAAAATTTTCCCAGTACCTGGAAATTTCCAGAAAATTCTGGGGATGGGTTTTTTTTCTGGGATTGACAGGAAAATCAGGTGCATTTTTCAGAAATTTTGAGAAAATTCTGGGGATTTTTCCAGGTTCGAGAGGTGATGTAATGCGCAATTTCTAGAACTTCCGAGAACATCTTTCCATTACAAGGAAAATTCCGGGGATGAGGGATTTTTTTCCGGTTTTGAGAGAGTTGTCTTAATACCCGGAAATCTCTCGTTCCCGGAAGTGCTCTGCACCAATTGTTCCAGCTAACAGAGATATCGCTACTAATAACTACTACTTAGGGAGTTTCACAGAAAGTACAGGTGCTCCTCTACTTAAGAACGTTCAACTTACAAACTTTCAGAGATGCAAACATCATTACTGAAGGGGGTTACCTGCCAGAACAGGTGTTTAATGTGGATGAGACTGGATTATTTTGAAGAAAATCCCAGATAGAATAAACATTACCTAAGAGAAGAAGAATGAGTCAGGTTTTAAGGCTGTATTAAAGGGTATAGCTGTACAAAATATCCATAATCTTTTAATTTTTTACAATATGTTTGGTATCTACAAGAGTAAAGTTGGACTTACAAACAAGCCTCAGGAACGTAACTTGTTCGTAAGTAGAGGAGCACCTGTAATAACATCCATCCATGATGCCCTACATCCTCCTCTGAATGAAAAGTATCAATATCCCATAAGGAAACTTCTTGCTAATTTCCTCCTATTTTTGTTTGCAGAATCAGAAATTTGAGTCTGTGTATGCTGTACCTCAGTTACTGCCTCAAGTGCCTGTAATTATTGGAGGAGGAACACAAGGAACAGGCCAGACCGTGTCAATTTCTCAAAGAAATAATAAGACCTGCAACAGTAACCAGATTATGTCATCCCATATTAATGATATTCTAAACAAGACAGAAGATATACAGACAATCTACAGCAACATTGGTAGTGAGAGTTATGTAATGGCAACTGTGCGAAGAGGAAGTGACAGCAGTGCCTGTATGAACCAGGTCAGATCACTAGCAAGTTTAATTAGTAATGGTGGTAGTGGAGGTGAAATCACAGTCACACCTGGTCCAGATAATAACCGTAAATTTTCAACATGTACAGTAGGGAGGACCAATAGTAATAACATCAATCAAACAGGATTTATTAAGCCTCAGAATAAATTAGCATCCCCAAGAGAAAATGAATGCAATGCCAAAAACATGAATGAAGATGAAGGACTGTTATCCAGTGAAGATGAGTCAATGGAAAGTGATAACATCATGATGGAGCAAGTTCATAACGAAAAGACATTTAGAGTGCAAAATCAAAATGATTGTATTAGTACTGAGGCAGACACAAGCCCAGTAGAATATATTTCTCAAGTCAGTAATGACAAGGACAAAGTTGCTATGGAGACTGAACCTCTCCTTAACAGAAAACCTCAGTCTCTTGATGTTCTTGCTAAAAATGCCATAAATGCTATTGGTTTTGGTCCTGAGTGTGTGAGGATTATTCGTGCTGTGGGGCCAAAACAAGACCTGAAAGGCATGGCACAAGAGTTAACAACCACTTTTAAGCCTGTTTAATCTTCCATAAGCCAATAAGGTCAGTTTTATTGGCTCACAACTTGTATTTTAAAAGATTTTCATACCTCGTGGTTGCTATGGAGATCTTATCAGTCACAAATTAAGAGATCTGAGTATCGTAATGTAGGTCTGACTCGGGAGAAACATTACTTTTTTATTTTTTTGAAAGGATATTTCTTCCTCCAAACTTTACTTATTTTACCATTTGCTAATCATTTTCATTTTATACCTAATATGAAGTATATATACAATGGTCATTAACCACTAAATAGCAGCTAAGGAGTCCCTCTCCCCCCTCACATAAATGGAATGCAAGGAACATGAAATGTCCACTGATGGTGGCTGCTGTTTAAAGATTAATCAAGACTTACAGCAATAATTTTAGCACCATTTCTTTCAAAGTATCATTTTGCTTTACATTATATTCATAAGGAAAGAGTTAATTAGTGATGTATTTAATGGACATCACCATACCAGTAACTTTTTAAAACCAATTCAGTGTTTTGCGTTATGTTAGTGTTACTTCTGAAATTTCATTAAATCTAAATGGTCAGAACAATGTAGTGTAAACTAGAAGCTTGCCCGAGTCCATAATAGTAGTGGATATAAATAAAGAGTTAAGGTATTACAATTCACTATGTGTTAGACCTGGTGGTGATTCCCCTACCAAAGTAATGAAAAGCTGGCTTTTGTCTTTTAAAACTGGGTCCTCTTTTTCATAATTTTATTATGAATTTATGTAGAACCTAGTTCATGATTTTACAATTTAATTAGTCATTTTAAGTCAGTCATTATATTGACACCCTAGTTTATTATATAAACATGGTACTTTACCAAGGTTATAATAACTCCACATAAAACTACAAACTCATTTTATGTAGATTCATGATGCCTTGCCATGTAATTAAGACATTAACCTTGAAGACTCAGACATGTAGGTAAAATTGCAGACAATGAATTTGCAATATTCTTTTGATTTTTGACTGATATTCTCTGAACCTTGACTCTATTCACCATTATTAATTGTAGACATGTAATTTATACACAAGATATTTTGTCGGGCCAAATTTCTATAATTTTTTTTTATTTCCTGTACATAGTGTAGATAACAATGACCTACAACATACTGGTACTTATAATAACATATAATGTTTGCATGTACACAAGTAGTGTCATGTAAGGAAAATTTCAAATTAAGCCATTTTTGTACATGTTTACAAAGGGACCCTTTAGTTTACCTGTCTCCCAGCCAAACCAAACCAAGGGGCATCCCTGCTCCTCTGACTCAGAATAGTTTGTACTCAGTCCCCTCTATACGATCATGGCAACATAAACTCATCTATCCACTGCTTAGGGTAAGTGGAACTACATTACTGTATTTTTGGTGTTTCTCAAATCATTATTTATTGTTTGCCGTAAGATTCAGACAATCGGCTTTTTCGGACAGGTGGTCTCCCCTATTAGTCCGGATCTTTGTGGGTTTACTGTGTTTATATTATTAGCTATAATTTTTACTACACTAAATAATCAAGATACTAGACATGGAGTTGGGGGCAGAAACACATCATGAAGTGACTCAAGCCAAAGGGCGAAATTTGTACATCACAAAAGCTGAGAAGAGACTGGGAGGCTCTCATGTGTGTGAAAAATAAATACCTATTTTGGCAACATAATCTAGCCAGGCCTGCCATTTTTATTCAGATAGGCCTGCAAAAGATCAAAATGTCATATTACATGATCTGCGTTAAAATAAAATTGAAGCTCCCTCATAGCTGCAGGATTTATGTTAAACAAAAGTTTTGTATAAAGTTAAATAGTACTGAGCATTGCTCATCTTTGAAACAATCATAAATAGTTTGTAGTTAGACAATTAAACAAAACAGATATTTATTGTATATAAGATTTCTTGCCATTTACTCAATTTAAACCAGCTGAGACTAAGTCAATTGCATACTCATACACCAAAGATTTGGACTTGTAAAACTATTTTTAGACCTTTGTACACACCCATTATATTCCAATTATTGAATTTGTTATAATATTGCAACATTAATTGGTTACCTATGCAAATAAATCACCGCAGGTGCATATGATCCATGTATGAGCTGATAACTAAATAGGTAACAAGAAAACATAAAAGCGCTTGGGAATTTTGTGTTTTCTTGGTTCCTATGTGGTTATCAGGAATTCAGCATATACATGGTTACCTATGTATAGTAATTAACTTTTAGGAAAGAAATCTGATTACCTTTTCAGGCAAAATTAAAATAGCCCAAATAAATTGTGTTTTGCGATATGATGAAGATGAAAATCCCACGAAAATTCTCAGGTTTATTATGGATTGATCAAAAGGGAAAATAAACTAAACATGTACAATGTTTAAAAAAATTGTATAAATATAAAAAACATTTGTTATTTAAATAACTGTTTATCACCATACATATCCAAAGAATATTTTGTAATAAAATCAAAGTGTAAAATTGTTTTATTTTTAACCCATACTGATGATCCCAACATAACTAGATTGCTAGTAAGACCGGAAGGATCACTAAGACTAGCAGCCTCGCTAAAGTTCGCCTGGAAAGGCTGAGCCTGGTACTGAGATCAATAATAAAAGAGTTAGGAAGAGAAAACTTAACTCTGGCCTGCATGCTGAGAGTAAGCAGTAAACCCAGGGCGGAAACCCGAAAAGTTTCGTGAACGAACATGAGAAGAGGGAGACGGATGGTCACATTTACCATGGTACTTATCACAACACTTGTACAGTAAGAGATGGGGGTTTATATATATATATATATATATATATATATATATATATATATATATATATATATATATATATATATATGTATATATATATATATATATATATATATATATATATATATATATATATATATATATATATATATATATATATATATATATATATATATATATATATATATATATATATATATATATATATATATATATATATATATATATATATATATATATATATATATATATATATATATATATATATATATATATATATATATATATATATATATATATATATATATATATATATATATATATATATATATATATATATATATATATATGTATATATATATATATATATATATATATATATATATATATATATATATATATACATATATATATTGAAATGGAACTCTGTCTCTTGTTGAAAATTAGATATATATGTATACCATCATCCACTCTGCTTGATCTACTATACTGTACTCTTGTCTACCTTATCTACTGTATTTTATCTACTCCTTATTATAGACAACGCCCATCACATTTCCAGTATCATAACAGACCTCAACAATAATGAAAAGGAGAATAAATATCAAACAGGAAAACATAAGTTGGGGTGTTGTGCTGACTGGAGGCTCTGTTTTCCTATTGGCTGTAATTTGTGGGTTTATATTTTAGTCCACCAATCACAGTTAAGTAAGGGATTGCTGGACGTCTCCGCTGTCCCTGGGAGGCCTGGTAGCGCCAGCGCCCCTGACATGGTTCCCTGGGGGCGCCACTGACCCTGGCACGCACTGGGAGCGCCAACGTCCTTGGGATGGTCTCTGGGAGTGCGGCTGTCCAAGAGATCCCCTGACGGTGCCAGCCCACCTGGCAGGGCTCCTGGGGCGCCATCGGCCTTGGCATGGCCCCTAGAAGTGCTCAGGGTCTTTGGGGAGTTCCCCGAGAAGCACTGCTGTCCCTGGGAGAGCCCATGGGAGCGCCACCGTCCATGGGAGTGTCTCTGAGAGGCGGCTGTCCTAGGAGATCTCCTGAGGGTGCCAGCGCCCTGGCATGCCTGGCGGCGCCATCAGTCCTCCACGGCCCCTGGGAGTGCCACCGTCCTGGGAGGGCCCCAAGAGCGTTGCTGTCCCGGGAGAGCCCCAGGGAGCGCCATCATCCTAGGGAGCCCACTAGTACAGTTGTTTTTGCACTATCTAGAACTCTGAGAGATAGACGTTAAATAAATACACCGCCCATCACATTTCCAGTATCATCGTGAGACCCCAACAATGAAAAAGGAGAATAAATATCCAACAGGAAAACATAAGTTGGGGTGTTGTGCTGAGTGGAGGCTCTGTCTCCTATTGGCTGTAATTTGGTGGATTTATATTTAGTCCACCAATCACAGGCAGAGATTGCTGGACGTCTCCTGCTGTCCCTGAGGCCTGCACGCCAGCGCCCCTGGCAGGGTCCCCTGGGGGCGCCACTGACCCCTGGCACGCACCCTGGGAGTGCCACCCGCCTTGGGAGGTGGTCTCCTGGGAGTGCGGCTGTCCTAGGGAGAGCCCTTGAGGGGTGCCAGTGCCCCTGGCAAGGCTCCTGGGAGCGCTTATCGGCCCTGGCACGGGTTCCTGGGAGTGCCACTGTCTGTGAGAGGGCCCCTTGAGAGCATTGTTGTCCCTGGAGAGCCCCCGAGCGCCACCGTTCTGGAGGGCCGCCACCACCAAGCAAGAGCCCACTAGTACAGTTGTTTTTGCACCTCGCATTTAGATCTCTGAGAGATATGACGTGAAAATAAATACACCCCCATCACATTTCCAGTATCATCAAGAGACCCTCAACAATGAAAAAAGAGAATAAATAACCAACAGGAAACATAAGTTGGGTGTTGTGCTGAGTGGAGGCTCTGTTCTCCTATTGGCTGTAATTTGCGGATTTATATTTTAGTCCACCAATCACAGGTAAGTAAGGGATTGCTGGACGTCTCCGCTGTCCCTCGGGAGAGGCCTGGGTACTTTAGCGCCCCTGGCAGGGTCCCCGGGGGCGCACTTCGACCCTGGCACGCACCCTGGGAGTGCCAATTGTCCTTGGGAGGGTCTCTGGGAGGCGGCTGTCCTAGGGAGATTCTTGCGGGTGCCAGTGGCCCTGGCAAGGCTCCTGGGAGTGCCATCGGCTCCCTGGCACGGCCCTGGAGTGCCGCCACCACTAGTACAGTTGTTTTTGCACCTCGTATTTAGATCTCTGAGAGATATGACGTAAAATAAATACACCGCCCATCACATTTCCAGTATCATCGCAGACCTCAACAATGAAAATGAGAATAAATAACCAACAGGAAAACAAAAGTTGGGGTGTTGTGCTGAGTGGAGGCTCTGTTCTCCTATTGGCTGTAATTTGGTGGATTTATATTTTAGTCCACCAATCACAGGTAAGTAAGGGATTGCTGGACGTCTCCGCTGTCCCTGGGAGAGGCCTGGGTACGCCAGCGCCCCTGGCAGGGTCCTCTGGGAGCTCCACTGACCCTGGCACGCACCCTGGGAGTGCCACATTCCTTGGGAGGGTCTCTGGGAGTGCGGCTGTCCTAGGGAGATTCCCTGAGGGTGCCAGTGCCCCTGGCAAGGCTCCTGGGAGCGCCATCGGCCCTGGCACGGCCCCTGGGAGTGCCGCCGTCTGTGGGAGGGCCCCTGAGAGCGTTGCTGTCCCTGGGAGAGCCCCTGGGAGCGCCACCGTTCTTGGGAGGGCCGCCACCACTAGTACAAGAGCCCACCAGTACAGTTGTTTTTGCACCTCGTATTTAGATCTCTGAGAGATATGACGTAAAATAAATACACCGCCCATCACATTTCCAGTATCATCGCAGACCTCAACAATGAAAAAGAGAATAAATAACCAACATAAGTTGGGGTGTTGTGCTGAGTGGAGGCTCTGTTCTCCTATTGGCTGTAATTTGGTGGATTTATATTTTAGTCCACCAATCACAGGTAAGTAAGGGATTGCTGGACGTCTCCGCTGTCCCTGGGAGAGGCCTGGGTACGCCAGCGCCCCTGGCAGGGTCCCCTGGGGGCGCCACTGACCCTGGCACGCACACTGGGAGTGCCCCCGTCCTTGGGAAGGTCTCTGGGAGTGCGGCTGTCCTAGGGAGATTCCCTGAGGGTGCCAGTGCCCCTGGCAAGGCTCCTGGGAGCGACATCGGCCCTGGCACGGCCCCTGGGAGTGCCGCCGTCTGTGGGAGGGCCCCTGAGAGCGTTGCTGTCCCTGGGAGAGCCCCTGGGAGCGCCACCGTTCTTGGGAGGGCCGCCACCACTAGTACAAGAGCCCACTAGTACAGTTGTTTTTGCACCTCGTATTTAGATCTCTGAGAGATATGACGTAAAATAAATACACCGCCCATCACATTTCCAGTATCATCGCAGACCTCAACAATGAAAAAGAGAATAAATAACCAACAGGAAAACATAAGTTGGGGTGTTGTGCTGAGTGGAGGCTCTGTTCTCCTATTGGCTGTAATTTGGTGGATTTATATTTTAGTCCACCAATCACAGGTAAGTAAGGGATTGCTGGACGTCTCCGCTGTCCCTGGGAGAGGCCTGGGTACGCCAGCGCCCCTGGCAGGGTCCCCTGGGGGCGCCACTGACCCTGGCACGCACCCTGGGAGTGCCACCGTCCTTGGGAGGGTCTCTGGGAGTGCGGCTGTCCTAGGGAGATTCCCTGAGGGTGCCAATGCCCCTGGCAAGGCTACTGGGAGCGCCATCGGCCCTGGCACGGCCCCTGGGAGTGCCGCCGTCTGTGGGAGGGCCCCTGAGAGCGTTGCTGTCCCTGGGAGAGCCCCTGGGAGCGCCACCGTTCTTGGGAGGGCCGCCACCACTAGTACAGTTGTTTTTGCACCTCCTATTTAGATCTCTGAGAGATATGACGTAAAATAAATACACCGCTCATCACATTTCCAGTATCATCGCAGACCTCATCAATGAAAAAGAGAATAAATAAGCAAGAGGAAAACATAAGTTGGGGTGTTGTGCTGAGTAGAGGCTCTGTTCTCCTATTGGCTGTAATTTGGTGGATTTATATTTTAGTCCACCAATCACAGGTAAGTAAGGGATTGCTGGACGTCTCCGCTGTCCCTGGGAGAGGCCTGGGTACGCCAGCGCCCCTGGCAGGGTCCCCTAGGGGGGCCACTGACCCTGGCACGCACCCTGGGAGTGCCACCGTCCTTGGGAGGGTCTCTGGGAGTGCGGCTGTCCTAGGGAGATTCCCTGAGGGTGCCAGTGCCCCTGGCAAGGCTCCTGGGAGCGCCATCGGCCCTGGCACGGCCCCTGGGAGTGCCGCCGTCTGTGGGAGGGCCCCTGAGAGCGTTGCTGTCCCTGGGAGAGCCCCTGGGAGTGCCACCGTTCTTGGGAGGGCCGCCACCACTAGTACAAGAGCCCACTAGTACAGTTGTTTTTGCACCTCGTATTTAGATCTCTGAGAGATATGACGTAAAATAAATACACCGCCCATCACATTTCCAGTATCATCGCAGACCTCAACAATGAAAAGAGAATAAATAACCAACAGGAAAACATAAGTTGGGGTGTTGTGCTGAGTGGAGGCTCTGTTCTCCTATTGGCTGTAATTTGGTGGATTTATATTTTAGTCCACCAA